TATAGAGATTGCAGGTTGAACCTGTAGATTGCTTTGTGTAGTAAAACCATTTTAACAATATTAATTCTTCTAATCCATAACATGGGATACCTTTCCATTTATTTATGTCTAATTTCTTTCACTGGAGTTCTGTAGTTTCCAGTGTACAGATCTTTCATGCCCTTGGTTAAATGTATGCCTAAGTATTTTTATTCTAAAGGTTAAAGTTTTTCTGATGATCTCAATCAGAACTCTCTTGTAGTATCTTTTAGTTGCTTCCCTATGTAAATACTTTACTTGCTCTAAAATATTTAGAATGTTTTCAGAATAATAGAGATTGAAAACTTTAGCAAACTGAGGAATTTGTACAAATTCAGCATGGTACTTATCATTTGTTGCCCAGGTAAGCTGTATTATATTTAAAGGTGCAGTGCTCTGAGAAATTGTCTGAACCTAAGTTTTCAAAGTTAATATCATCTTTATTGTAAATATTTCAAGGCCAGGAGTGGTGGCTCATGCCTGTAATCCTGGCACTTTGGGAGGCCAAGGCAGGTGGATCACCTGAGGTCAGGAGTTCGAGACCAGCCTGGCCAACATGGTGAAACCCCATCTCTACTAAAAATACAAAAATTAGCCAGCTGTGGTGGCACACGCCTGTAATCCCAGCTACTCGGGAGGCTGAGGCAGGAGAATCACTTGAACCTGGGAGGCAGAGGTTATTGCGAGTGGAGAATGCACCACTGCACTCCAGCCTGGGAGACAGAGCAAGATTCTGTCTAAAAAAAAACACATATATACATATTTTTAAAATAAATAGATGTACTATACTTTGCAACCCTTTTGTAATAGCAGAAAATTGGAAACATTCTGTATGTTTATGGAAATTGAGTAACCTATGGTGCATCTATGCAAAGGAGTGCTATGCAGCTATGAAAAGGAATGAGGTCTATCTCTGTATATTCCTATAAAGTTCTTTAGGATATATTATTAAGTCTAAATGTCTAAGTTTTGCTTCAAAATAATCTAGAGAGTTCAGAGGGGAAGTGGAAGGGTTATAGATAAAATTGCTCATATTGATATTTGTCGAAGCTGATTAATGGGTACTTGAGGATTCATTGTACTAATCTGCTACTTTTGTTTATATTTGAAACACTTTTCTCTTCCTTCCTTCCTTCCTTCCTTCCTTCCTTCCTTCCTTCCTTCCTTCCTTCCTTCTTTCTTTTTTTGAGACAGAGCCTCACTATGTCTCCCAGGCAGGAGCACAATGACATGATCTCAGCTCACTGCAACCACCACCCACGGAGTTCAAGTGATTCTCCTGCCTCAGCCTCCCAAGTAGCTGGGATTATAGGCACACACCACCGCGCCTGGCTAATTTTTTTGGTATTTTTAGTAGAGATGGGGTTTCACCATGTTGGTCAGGCTAGTCTTGAACTCTTGACCTCAGGTAATCCACCTGCTTCCGTCTCCCAAAGTGCTGAGATTACAGGCATGAATCACCATGCCCGGCCTTTGAAATACTTCTTAATAAAAAGGTTAAAAATAAGATATAGCCTAATGTTCTGAAGGAAATATTTTTCTGGGATATTCATTCACATTTAATATCCATGAAAGGATTGAGTATACATATTTTAGTTTATTCATAAAACAAATTTAAATATATAGCCAAACCATTTTTAGCTGCTTGAAGATTTAAGCAATAAACTGTGATTACTTAGCAAATATAAAGTATTGTAATGTCATAATAATAATAGTTATTTTAAAAAACACTGTAGGGCATTGAAAAAAGCAAACGTGTGTTAAAGGAAGGGAAGTCAAATGATACCACTGGCTATTAACATCATATAACAACAGACAATCAGATATTTGGAGCCTCCTGATGGAAGTGTATGTTACCCCCTATGAAGTATTGTTGTAGCAGCAGGAAGAGGAAAACAAGTACATGTATAATTTACGGCTGTGGCAGAAAATTAGAGACAGCAGAGTAGAAGCTCAAGTCCAGAGGCATTATCATGTTTAATCTGCACATCTTTTTGAAACATAAAAATTAGTTGTTGTTTTGTTTTACTAATTTTACCCCGTTTTAGAGAGGAGTAAATTTAATGAATAAATGATATGTCTGTGACCACCTGACTAACACATTCAAGAACCCAGAACCTACCAAGCCTTCTGGTTTCATATGATAGAACATGCTTTCCATGTTATAGAGTGAGGCTCAATGTCACCAAGAAAGAGCCAATCCAATAAGATAGACATGAGAAAGGATACGTATTCAGCAGAAGATTCAGACCTTAAAAGCATCTTTCAAAGCAGTTCATGCATCTTTCAAAAGCATCTTACAATTGCAGTTATCTTCTCTGGCAAGAGAAGAGTGTAAGTATAATATTCTGTTGATTTAGTGAAGATTCATGTATTTCTGAGATCAAAAAGAGCTGCTGATGATATTGGCATTCTCTTATACAATGGAGGCATTTTACCCGCTCTCTCTCCAGAAGGGCAGTCATCCCAATGTCACCAAAGTGGGTCAACGGAGGCCTTGCTGACTAAGACAGAGTTCTTTTAGAAACTTCTGTGGATCTACTTGAATACATGGCCAGATCAATGGCTAATATACAGGGCCGGCTTCAGCTTCATAGATGTATGACCTACATAGTCACACAAAGATCTGCTCTCAGAAGAGCCCTGCACTTGTTTTAATGCTCTGCTGTCACCATTTTTAAATACTTAAAATTTTATTTTTGAGCTTGAGTTTTGTAAATAAAGTCTGTTGGGACAATCGCACATTCACATGAGCAGCACAGATAGGCCAGGAAGCAGTGTGCACACGCGCAGGCCTGAATCAGTGGCTGCGGCAGAGGGTGTGGGTGCCAAGCAAATAGGCCTGTGGCCTCGTGCTCAAAAGCATGCATCAGAGCAATTTGAGGTATCACAGAGTCTCAAGGCAGCCAGGCCAGCACTTGAGTGCACGTTGGCAAAAGCAATGGCAGCAATAGCAGCAGAAGCAACATGACAGCAAAAGTAATAGGGACAGCTACATCAGTGATGGCCTCAGGAGAAAGAAGAGGCTCTGCATGGGGACAGTTCTAGAACCTACCATGGGAGACTGGTCCCTAGCACCTGTCCCTGTGGTATTTGCACATATAATAAGGAAAGAAACTATTGGCACTCATGCAGAAAACTTTTTTAGTAAAATATTACAAAATAAAAGCAAACACACAGACATTGCAATAAAACATGTCAAGGAGTTATTAGAATTATTCAGAGAGTTTAAAATCTCCAGTTTTGAAAACTGCTATAATATTGCAAATCAAATATCCATAAGTTTAGGAATTGAAATTAAAGATGATTGCATGTGACAGAAAATAATACTTTTCTAAGCTTGAATAAAGCTTATAAAGCTTTGAATAAATGAAGTATGAACAAGAAAGACCATTTTTAATTTTATTTTTTCTTTGTAATGGAACATACAACAATAGAATGCATATAAGCAGGTGTTTTATACAAAATATAAAGCCACTTTTGGATTATTGCACAACCTCCAGAAGTTACCAAAATTGTTAGAGGACACATTAAAATGAATGTTGAATAAATTTACATTTAAAATTAAATTCACAGAGGAAGCTGGTTTTTAGAAAGAGTTAAATCTTTTTAGAAACTTGTTCTATAAGAATCATCAGCTCAAACGGTTATATTTTGAAATGATTTATCAGAAATTTATCTAAATGTTATCACAGCCTATAAATATTCTTATAAACTTCAGTGAAAGATGCATGAGCAGGAAGATTCTTCTCAAATTAAAAATTGCCAAAAATTATGTATGATCTTGCATTTCCCAAGAGCAACTCACATCACTTTCAGTTTGATCAATTAAAAATGAAATTATAATGAGTATAAATTTTGATGATCTAGTAAATTAATTTGCAGAAAAGTGAGCCAGAAAAATCTTATGATCAATCAAGATATTATTGTTATTTTATTATATAAAATTGTGACATCAAAAATATTTTCTTAGGATTCATTGCTATTCACTTAGTTTTTGTTGCTATTCATGTATTGCTATTACCCCATCACATTTTATAAGTAATAAAATATTTTTAAAGGGAAGACTTTTTATATATTAGTAACTTTCAGAGGACATTTTTCTGACATTTTGACAAGGAATCCCACATTTGTTTTTTTGTACTGGGTCCTGCAAATTATGTAGGTCACCCTGCCAATATGATTTGAGGAAGACAAATTTCTGAAGCTGGTGTTAGCAGTTGCCCACAGCAATTACAGAAGAACCTCAGTTTTGCTCCTGTGGGACTTTGGTTTTGGACAAACTAACTTTCCAATAAGGAGTGAATGAATTATTGTTACTGCATTGATTTAGTATTAAGCATTTTATTTCTGAAAATTCAAGTAAACTATTTGCAATTGTAATATTCTTTGAACATTAGAAGAATAGCAGAACTTGTTTGTCCCATTGGCAATTATTTTTAGCACACATTCTAAGTATGTTATTTGTGAGGTGTTGAAGGTATATGGGTAAATAAGAATATAATTTCTGTTCTAAGAAGTCCAATAAGGTAGATAATATGAAAAATAGTAAATTATAATACAGTATTTTAAGCACTTTTCTACAGAAATATGTACAAGGTATAGATTATAGAGGTATCAGAAAGCACACTTTGCTTTCTGATAATAGGATAGCTGGAGAGGTTTCTGACTTCTTGTTGCATAAATATCTAGGCTGATACTGACTTGCATTCTCATTATAATTCATATATATTTTATTTTCCAATTATTGCAACAGTAGCATACTTTTAAAAATAAGAATGATTGATTTGAATGCAACAGTAGAGAGTATCTTTGCAAAAAAGCAGTCTTTTACAATGAGATTATAGCTAACTTTCCTGATTTGTAGTTTCATTGAAGAATAGCTTATTCCGTTTTTTGCTTATTTTTATTATTTTCCATTAATTTTACTTTTTAAGTGAAGACACTCCTAAATAGCCACATATGGATTAATTTTATTTTAGAATCGTGAAAAATGGAAGACAGTAGCACAGACACAGAAAAAGAAGAGGAAGAGGAGAAAGATGAAAAGGATCAAGAGCCCATTTATGCCATAGTGCCCACAATTAACATTCAAGATGAGCGGTTTGTTGATTTATCTGAAACTCCAGCTTTCATTTTTCTGCATGAGGTATATTTTTCTTTGTATGTTACTACAGTAAAACCCAACTCAACATGTACTTAAAAATTCAAATGAAGCCAATATCATTATCAAAATTCTTTATTACATATATCCTGTAGGTGATATTTACAACTTGATACACTAAAACAAAATGGTCCCTGCCTTTACTTCCAAAAATTTATCAGGTAATTCTGAGCCAATGCAGTAGTGTAGGTTCTGATACTTTCGTAGCATAAGTATTAGCATATATATTCAGTCAGTTACATACATTTCTTGGGTTGGTACATGAAATGAAGATTTCTTTTATTATTGCATATACTACATTTACTTCCATACAATGAAAAGATCTTGTCATATGATAGAAAGAATATATATTTACCTAACTAACTATAGTTACTGCAATGGAGCACTGAAATCTGCTGTTTTCTATCAGCAAATAAGCAAAAAGGGGAATATCATGAATTATATATTCTCATTATGTGAACTTTAAAAAGCAAGATGAACATTTAGGAAATACCCATATATGGGGAGGGTTTTTTTTTTTTTTAAGTAATGGCTGACTACATATTCAACTGTTACCTGGTCATGCCTGACAGCTATACTTTAGAAAATGATTTAAAGGACATTGGAATTTCAGATGACAAACTTTATATAACTGAATAAAACATTCTAAGAAATTTGATAGTCATAGTAAAAAATAAGTTTAAAAAGTCTTAAAGCAAAAACAGAATTTATTCAAAACTGAGAAGCAAAACCAAATTGGAACAGAATGCAATAAAAAAGTAATTTTTAAAATAATAGTGTTATGGCCCGTAATCCATAACACTATTATTTTAAAATAATCCCACTATTTATTATTTTAAAATAATAGTGCTGTAATCCCAGCACTTTGGGAGCCTGAGGCGGGTGGATCACGAGGTCAGGAGATCGAGACCATCCTGGCTAACACAGTGAAACCCCGTCTCTAGTAAAAATACAAAAAATTTGCCGGGCTGGGTGGCTGGCGCCTGTAGTCCCAGCTACTTAGTAGGCTGAGGCAGGAGAGTGGGGTGAACCTGGGAGGCAGAGCTTGCAGTGAGCCGAAATAGCGCCACTGCACTCCAGCCTGAGTGACAGAACAAGACTCCATCTCAAAAAAAAAAAAAGAAAAGAAAAAATAGTGTTATATATGTGTGTACAGGATCTAAATTACTAAATTGTTCACTTTTTCTACAGTTTTGACTTTTTCTTTTATTTTGACATAATTTCAGATATACAGGACAGTTGCAAGAATAGTGCAAAGAATTTCCATAGTTACTTTGGAACTTAAACCCAGATTTCTCAGATGTTAACATCTTACCACATTTGCTTTATCCTTTCCTTTCTATCTTCTTGTTCTCTCAACCTCTCTCTTTCTCTCTCTCTGAAGACACGATGCCCCTTTACACCTAAATGCATCACTGTGTTTCCTAAAAATATATTCATTCTCTTAATCATAATACAATAATATCAGGAAATTAACACTGATATAATACCATTTTCTAATCTACATAACTTATTCAGGTCTTGCCAGTTGTCCCAATAATGTTCTTTATAGCAAAAGAAAATTCCAGATTATGTATTGCATTCAGTAGTCATCTCTTTAGTCTCCTTTAATCTGGAACAATTCTTCAGGATTTCTTTAGTTTTCATGATATTGACACTTTGAAGAGAAGAGGTTGTTTATTTTGTGATTTTTTTTTCAATTTGGATTTTTCCCATTTTCTCATTATTAGATTCAAGTTATGTATTTTTGGTGAAAATATAAAGACACAATGTTGTATTCTTCTCAAGTGTCTTCTACCGGGAACACATGATGTGCCTTGTCCCACTGCTAGACTTGTTCATCTTGATCACTTGGTTAAGGTGGTGACTTCCAGATTTCTCTTTTATTTATTTATTTTTCTGTTTGAAATTAATAAGCACCTCAAGAAGAGATACTCTGAGACTATGTAGTTGTCTTACTCCTCTTAACATTTTCACCTACTAGCTTGGGATTTATTGGTGATACTTACCCAAATCAACTTTTGTTATGATGATTGTCAAATGGTGATTTTCTAATTCCATCATTTCTTCTATATTTGTTAGGTGGCTTTCTACTATGAGGAAGAACTTTCTCTTCTTTCCTTATTTTTTCATCTGTTTATCAGTGTAGACTTATGGTTTCTCACTGTCATTCCTTTTCATGCTCTGATTGTCCCACATTTGGCCAGTGTACACCCTTCAGGTAGGCTTACTTGTCCTTCTGATATGCTCCTGTGATTCCTTCTGTACTTCCTTTCTGGCACAAGAATGTGTTCTGGGCTCATCTTGTATTTTCTTTGCTCCAGTCATTTCTTCGAGGATCCCTAGTTCCTTTTACTGGAGAATGATATTTGGAAACTAATATATTAATGCTGAGTATGGTCATTGCTCCTAGAATGTCATAGCTTCTAGCCCCTGTCAGTGGACAGAGCTAGAAAATAGATTTATGAATATTTTTATCCACACAAATTTAAATCTATTTCTACATCTATCTTTATATATTTTTAAATCTTACTTTTGAGATACAGGGCATACATGTGCAGGTTTGGTACATGGGCATATTGCATTCAGGTGGTAAGCATAGTACCCGTTAGGTAGTTTTTCAACCCATACTCCCCTTCCTCCCTCCACTCTCTAGTAGTCTGCAGTGTCTGTTATTCTCATGTTTATATCCATGTGTGCTCAATGTATAGCTCCTACTTATAAATGAGAATATGCAGTGTCTGGTTTTCTTTTCCTGCATTAATTCACTCAGGATTATGGTCTCCAGCTCCTTCTATGTCTCTGTGAAGGACATGATTTCATCCTCCTATATGGTTGCATAGTATTCTGTGGTATATATATATATATATAAAAAACACACTTTCTTTATCCAATCCACCACTGATGGGCAGCTAGATTAATTCCACATCTTTGTTATTAATAGTGTGGTGATGAATGAATGTATGAGTGCATATGTCTTTTTGGTATAACGATCTATTTTCCTTTGGTTTTATACCCAGTAATGGGATTGCTGGGTTGAATGGTAGCTCTAAGTTATTTGAGAAATCTCCAAACTGCTTTCCACAGTGGCTGAACTAAACTAAAGAGCCTCTTCACAGTAAAAGAAACTATCAACAGAGTAAACAGACTATAGAATGGGAGAAAATATTTGCAAACTATGCATCTGACAAAGGTCTGATATCTGGAATCTGTAAGGAACTTAGACAAATCAACAAGCAAAAAACAAATAACCCCATTTAAAAAAAGGACAAAGGACATGGATAGACATTTCTTAAAAGAAGACATACATGTGGCCAACAAAAGTAGGAAAAAATGCTCAGCATCACTATCAGAGAAACACAAGTCAAAACCACAATGAGATATTATCTCACACCAGTCAAAATGGCTATTATTAAAAAGTCAAAAACAACGGATGCTGGCAAGGCTATGGAGAAAAAGAAATGCTTATCTTTATATTTTTAAAACCATGATTTCCTTCCTCTAATCTTAATATTTCAAGTGAAGGGTTCACATTTCTGTTAAAATCCATCATATGTCCAACTTTGCATTAGGATTTCTACTTCACCACTACCTTTAATAATCAAATCAAAAATAAGGCTAAACTTGTGTCATAAATTTGTTTGATACAGCAGTAGCTACCAAAGACATTGAATCAACATACACTTATGATATAAACTCATGCATTCTTAGGTCTGACATAAGTTGTTTGAAACCCAGTCATACCCAATCTTTGTACTAGTTAAAATAACTCATCCCCACGTGCTTGAGATATAGCCCACTTGTTTCTCATCCTGCTAATCCCAAACCCAAAACACCCCACAGCTGCTAACCATAATAAACTTAATGGTCAACACCAGAGTCATATAAATAAGTTTCCCCCTTCTGGCATGTTTTCCTTAAATCAGCCAATCCACAACTCCTGTGAGAAGACCAGAGTGATAATACCCATATACCTTAATAAAGGTGAGGTTCCACAGCTGCCCTCTCACTCCCCACCCACTGCTGAGCTCCCTGCCACCTCCAGACTTATCTGCGCTTCCCATCAGCACCCCTAAGCTGTCAGATCTGTAAGTAAAAAATTTCTTCTGTTTCATACGTTTGATTTCACCTTTTCATTGTTGTCATTGTGTCTCACATGACTGACACACAGGAACCTGACGCCCTGCCCATCAGGGCTCTTCTAAAGAGCAGCTATCTTGGCTTATGGCCACTCTTCACAGAGAGACCTTAAGACCAATTTATAAAGCCATAACAGTAAAAATCACAACAACTTGAGTTTATTTGTAGCAAAAGTTATGCTAATAGTAAAAATTATCTTCAAGGTTTTCTAAGCTAAAGATAAAGGTTTGTTTTGCAAAATTAACTTAGGATAACTTCTCATGCATATTGATCCTCAATCTAACAATTTAATAAATATTTCAAGAATCTCTCAATATACATGGATGAACAAATTATAGTTATTAATTGCTGGGTATAACAGGCCTCTGATAATTATATCCAAGAGCTTTCAATAATGGTTTCAAACAACTGTGCTACCTACCCTTTTGGGTAGTATCAATATCAGCAATTTTACCGCCTGAGAACTCCTCAAACAAGCGATAAATTGCAAACTTTGGGAATATTCAGAATTATTGGCTTCAGAAAACTTTATTTCCATAACACCACCACTAAGATATTGTTCTTAATTGGCATCTGTAGCTTTATAATCCTTTTAGGATTCTTTGAAAATCCATGGGTCTCACAAGTTTTTAACCTACTGTGTGTAACCTACTTTGTCTTCCTTCAGTTGTCTTTGTCCTCTAACCTACTTTGTCTTCCTTCGGTTGTCTAAACAGAAACTGTATCTGCAAAAATGGCAAAAATGCAGATGACGACTGAAGGAAAGCAGTCAGAAATCCACTTCCAAGGGTCCAGGTGCTTGGCATAACATTGGAAAACGCAGAAGCTGCTTACAGCATTCGTTA